TGCCAGCAAACCTTTCAGCCACTCAACTTCACAAACCAAAAGTGCTAAAGCCCTGTATTCAGCCTCTGATGAAGACCTCGACACTGTGGTTTGTTTGTTACTTTTCCAAGTCAATAAAGAATTTCCCAGGAAGGTGCAGTACCCTATTGTTGATCTTTTTGTATGTGGACAGCTTGCCCAGTCTGAGTTTGTAAATCCCACAAGTTTCAAATCTGCATTGCTACTGAAATGAATGCCTTGTCCATGGCTGTTCTTCAAGTACCTCAATACCCTGTATGCTGCCTGCAGATGATCATTACATGGTTGCTTCTGAAATTGACACAGTTGCTGGACAATTTATGTCAAATCTGGTATGGTAATTGTTACATAGTGCAGCCTTCCTATTAACCTCCTGTACACTTCTCCATCTTCTAGTGGTGTGCCTTGGTTTGCTGAAAGCTTGACCTTGGGATGAGATGGTGTGGTACACCCCTTTTCTTCCAAGTAACCGGTATCCTTGAGTAATTCCAAAGCATATTTTCTTTGACATACATTGATTCCATCTGCAGTCCTATTCACTTCCATACCAAGGAAGTACTGTAAAGGTCCAAGCAGTTTGATTTTAAACTCCTTACTCAATGCCTTCTCGATTTACTCTATATCCTTAGGTGCATCTCCACCTATGATAATGCCATCAGCATACACTAACAAAACCACAATTCTACCATGTGCACACTTTGTAAAGAGTGAATAGTCAGAAGCAGATTGTGCAAAGACATTCTTCAACAAGAATCATGTTAGTCTTGCAAACCACTGTCTTGAGGCTTGTTTAAGCCCATACAATGATTTCTTAAGTCTACATGCCATTCCCTTTGGATCCAAACCCTGCAAATCAACTCCCAAAGGAATCTTCTTATATACCTCTTCTTCTAAGTCTCCATGTAGGAAAGCATTGGAGACATCCAGTTGCTCAGTGTCCAATTTTTGATTGCTACTACTGCTAAGAGTGCTTTTACTGAGTTGATTTTAGCTACTAGTGAGAAGGTGTCTAGGAAATCAATTCCATAGACTTGTGTGTACCCCTTAGCCACCACTCTAGCCTTAAATCTCTCTATGGTGCCATCTGCTCTTCTTTTTATCTTGAACACCCACTTATATCCTATTGCTTTCTTCCCTTCAGGTAATTTGACCATGTCTTAAGTCTGGTTCTGCTCCAAAGCTCCAAGTGCCTCTTGCACAGCTTTGTTCCATATATCTGACTGCATAGCTTCATGATATGTAGCAGGTTCTACTTGAGAGATGACACTTAGAGCAAAAGCCTGATCAGCTGCATTCAAATGATCTAAGCCAAGGTAACTAGGGTACTTAGAAACTGCTGAACAAGAACCAATAGCCCAAAAGTAAGGTCAGGATCCAATTCACAATTGTTAAACTTGGTAGGAATTTTATGAGTTGTGTGGTCTCATTGGAGGTTCATAATCCTGTTGTGGTTCTAGTTTTGTGTCCAATCTCAAAGTGAAAAGGACTCTCAGAAGGTGTATCTTCAGTAACAGACTCATCTTCAGCAATATGAGGATAGACTATCCCCCTTCAGCAGAGGGTGAATCAGGTGGTGATAGCTTAGGTACAAGCTTGGGAACTAGCAAGCTAGGAGGATAAGGTTGGGGAGAAGAAGTAGGTGGTTTAGAAGATGGTGATTGAGAAGAAGGTGGTTCAGAAGTAGTGGAATCATGTCTGAAAGGTAAAATGGATTCATGAAACACCATATCTCTAGAGATGAAAACTTGATTGTCTTGTAAATCAAGGAGTTTGTACCCTTTAAGTCAAGAAGGAATACCAAGCAAAACACATTGACGTGTTGTGGCATCAAACTTAGACCTCCCTGCTGAAACAGTGCTAGCATATACTAAGCAACCAAACGGCCTAAGATGGCCTAAGAATGGAGCCTTCTTATAAAGAACCTCATAGGGTGATTTGTTCTTCAAGATTGGTGTGGGGATTCTATTAATATGATAAATTGCATGAAGTATGCAGTCAGTCCAGTATGTCAGTGGTATTCCAAATTGAAACCTGAGTGATCGAGCCACATTTAAAACATGCTGATGCTTTCTTCTACCCTAGCATTCTGATCCGGGGAGTAAACACAGGACATCTGGTGTTGTATACCTTCTAACATGTAAAAATCACACATTTGGAACTCTTTGCTTGATCACTTCTCACTACCTTTACTGTTGTACGAAACTTATTCTTGACCAGTTGACAGAAGCCTTTAAAGAATTCTCTGGCCTCACTTTTATGTCTCATGAGATACACCCAAACAGCTCTAGTGCAATCATCTGCTACAGTTAAGAAATAAACATAACCATCATAGGAAACAACTGATAATGGACCCTAGATGTCAATGTGATTTAACTAAAAAGCAAGGTTCAAAAAGGCGCTAGGCGTAAGGCGAGCGCTCGGCTCCTGACTTGCGCCTTGCCTGATTAAGCGTAGCCTGGGCTCTTGACTTTCAAATATTTCCTGTTTTCTGGAATATTTCATATGATCGAAGTTCATATAAAATTAAAAACATCTCGTTCTCAATATTTAACACTTAACATAACAAATAACAAACAAATAATGACCATTTCCTAGAATCTCAAGTTCAAAAAATGTCGAATACTAAACAATAGTCAATAAGTTCAAAGGAAAAGGTTAATTCCTCATCATCCAAGTAGGTTCGTCTAGCCACAACTTCATCTTCGTCATCCTCAAAAGTAATCTCCTCACCATCCTCCTCATCTTCCTCTTCTTCAGACTCGAATTCTTCATCATGGAGCTCTCTCACTCGTGCACTCCTGTGAAGCTCACTGTATTCACCCGCCATTGAATCTGAAATAGTACTCGAGGGTGTGCAATGTGCTTCCTCATCCACGAACACATACATAGCATGGTCATCCCCTCCCTCAAATAGGAAGCCTTGTGCTTCAGTTGCATCAGTACTTAAGAGAATATCAACGTTCTTCTTCTCCTTTATCTTCTTCTTCTTGGCCATCAACCTCGAGTTTGAACTGTATGTACACAAATTGATTGAGACGATATGTTGTAAGCCTATTCCTTCTCTTGGTATGTATCTACAAGTACAAAATCGTATTGCATGACAAATTGAGAATAAGAAATATGAATAATTGAACATGGTATAGATTGAGACTCAAATACATAGTGATTCAAAAGTACTCCAGTTTCTCTCATAGCCAGTAAAACTTGAGGTCAATGAAAGAATCCTCATAGCCAACTTTTGTAAATTTGGTGTGTCAACTCCATACATTCTCCACCAAACCACTAGAAAGTATACTGGTAATTTGGTACTACATTAGAGTCATAAAATAACAAGAAAGAAGTCAAATATATGAAGTAGCAGTGTAGTACTAACCAGGATTGTAATTGAAGTTTTGACAACTCCTTGAAAGTTTCTTCCTAAAGGCACCTTCTCTCTTTTGAAACTTCTGAAATTCATAATTCATAACCTGATCTTGCTTGTCATCATCACCAATGTAAAATGTCTCAACGCAATCCATGAATTCTGGGGTGATGTTTCCATCATCAAAGATGGACTCGTCAGCATAACTGTAGTGTGGATTCAACATATATGCAGTGCAATGCAATGGAGCATCAAGTCTTCCCTTCATCTTCTTGTCAACAATATCCATAAATTCTTTGTAGCGAATCTCCGCATTACTAAATGCCTCTTTGATCTCCCTCTTTGCCTTCATAATTTCACCATAAACAAACCCCATAGATGGTTTCACATCACCATCAACCAAAGGAAGAACTTTTACCAATGGTTCAAAAACCCTCAATCAATGGTGTACACCTTTCCAAAAGGATGCATTCAACACCGTTGCTGTTGCTTCCTTGCCCTTCTTTGTGTGTGCATCTTTCAAGCTCTCCCACTTCCTATCCACCACCATCTTCCTGAGTGCATCCTTTTTGTCCATCAATATTTGCAAGGTGAGATATTGAGAAGCACATCGGGTTTGCTCTTGGTCTTATGCTTTCTCTCTTCTTGGTGAAAAACCTCATGCATTCCAATGTACGATGGTGCCCATAAATGAAGATAGTGAAACTCTTAGCTTGGTCAATTACCTTCTTGAACTTTGACAAGCTGCCAATTCCGTGAAGAATTAAGTTGATGGTGTGAGTTGCGTAGGAGCTCCAGAAAATATTTGGTCTTTTCTCCAACAAGAGCTTCTTTGCTCCCATGTTATTTGAAGCATTGTCCGTCACAACTTGCACCACATGTTCAGCACCTAACTCTTCAATTGTTTTGTCCACTAGGTTGAAGATGACTTCACTTGTGTGTGACACATCCGATGTGTTTTTTGATTTGATGAAGCTTGTTCCCTCAGCACAATGTGTGACCATGTTCATTATGCTTCTTCTCTTCATGTCTGTCCATGCATCAGTCATAATAGAGCAACCGTTCCTCATCTTCTCATCATCACGATCACTGAGCAAGCTTTTTGTTCTTGTATATACTGATTTAGCAATGCATCTCAGAGATCATATTGAGTAGGAGGCACAAATCCTGGGCCAAACTGACCAATAGCCTCACACATTTGCTTGAACTCATCATTATCAATTGCATTGAATGGTATAGTTGTAACATAAAATCACAAGTTGGAATATAAATTAATCTTGTAGGTTGCAAAAAAAATTCATAGAAATGTAGATATACACCCATCTTGCAACATATTTTTGAACTTGAAGTGTTCTCTCTTCCCAAAGTGTCTTATTTAACTTCTGTTGATGAAGTGATGCAGCCGAAGACAACTTAGGATCAATAGAACGTGCCCACTTATCCATGGGTCCTAACTTGTGCGGTTCTGAACTACCAACACAAGTCATTTCTTCATCTGGTTGATCAGAGGAAACAATCACATCATCTCTTAACTCCTATTCACGGGCAGTTTTCTCTTTCTTCTTTTTTGCTGTATTCTCAAAGGCTTTCAAGCATACTTCTTTAGTTTCTGGTGTTGCCTTCAGGCACTTAAGCACTGAACTTGAATCTTGGGCAATATGATGCTTGAAGCGAGAGATACCTCCGATACTTTCATGCCCACAAAAATTATACCGCACTTTCTCCTTATTTTTTGGATCCGCCAATCTTCCATATTCCCAACCTATATCACCAGACTTCCTCTTAAAAGCATTGGCATTTTCTTCATTTGTCACTCCTGATGGCGAACCACTAGCATCGTCCATTATAGAACAGAACCTATTTAAAAAAACAATAATCAAAATTCAAGATGAAAGGAATCTCCAATCAATTGAAAGAGACAAAAATAAGCATCCATGACCCCATTAGATCACGTTAGAAACACAAAATAGAGCTTTCTTCATTCATTACTAAAAACAAAACAAAATCATGCCATAAAACAAGTTTTATATGCGCCAGAAACACAAATCAATTGTTCCCCATTAGAGCACATTAGAAACACGACATGGACTCCCTTGGCTAGTGAAATTGAGTGGATGTTGTTATTAAACAAAAGGAATTAAAAGACCATCATTCTCACAGCCCTCACACGTACTACATTATTGCATGGCTTGGATGTATAGAAAACCCACCCAACTATCTGTGGATTTTGAAAAGCAATGATGGGTGGACATTAACCCCCCATCACTACTATGTACAACTGCTACCTACTCAATTGCAGAGGAATTAATCATTCTACATCTTCCATATATAAAAAGAAACTCTTTTTTTCAGAAAGAAAAAGAAGCTCTACTTTACCGGCTTTACTGTTACATCATCCAAGCAAGTAAACGAGATTAATGGCAACCATTGATGTTGAGAGCACGAGCTTCAGAACTAAGTTTAGACATAGGAACTTATTGAGTTGAACGACCAACTTCTCAATGCGGCGGGCCGAGAAGGAAGGCACAGCAGGCAACAACTCAATTTTTGTTTCTAACCTAGAGTCGGCCGAATCCATATTATGGAAGGAGACATTGCTTTTGCTAATTCAAATTGAAGGGTGATATAAAATCGGTCTATTTCCAGTATCATATCCATAGCGCATTCATCCGGTGGAGGAAAGGAAGATGAAGAGGTGATTCCTTCTTTTTTTGTCAGGGGACTTCGCAGGTCACGCACAAGGGAGGGCCGGATAAGATATCAAAAAGTTCGGTCCAAGCCCAGAATTGTTGACCCGCACCAAGGCCCATTTCATCACCGCCTAGGCTTGCTTTATTTCCGTTTAGGCGGCCATTAATAGTTATTCCAACCGATTAATGGGACCCAGCGCTTTTTATTGCGCAATTAGCAATATCATGGCATTTTCCTAGCGCCTTGTGTCTTTTTAAGCCTAGGCGTAGGTCTAGGTGCGCCTTTTAGAAGGCTGCTGAACAGGTTCTGTTGGATTGCTGGTACCAACAGGAAATGGTTGTCTTTTGTGTTTAGAAAGATGACAAACAATACAATGTTCTGACTTGGAAAGGAAAACAGAAGAATAAAGATTGTGCAACAAAGTTTGCATGTCACTACTTGGATGTCCTAGCCTCCAATGCCACAGATCAACTTGATGAGGATGGTAATTGAAGACACTGGAAGCTTGAGGTAAGTGGACTGGATTTGTGTGAGAAGAGTTGGAAAAACAAAATTGTTAAAGGCCTCTAGATTCTCTTGCTAAACCAATCGTTGTCTTGTTTAGTAGGTTCTGAATTTGGCAAAGATTAGAGTGGAAACGTAAGGCTAGAGGCAAATCATGAGTCAACCTACTGGCTGAAACGAGGTTGAAGGAAAAACTGGGAACTAGAAGCACATTGTATAAATGCAGTCGCGTTGGTAACTTGACAGTTCCTATATGTGACACTGGAACCTTAGTGGCGTTTGGAAGGTGGACAAATGTATCTTGAACTTGCTTGTAGTCAATGAATCGAGCTAGTGAGCAAGCTATATGATCTGATGCACTTGTGTCTAGGATTTAGAAATTGACTAAATGGTTACTGTCTAAGTTGGATAGAGAAGAAAGCACATATTTACCTGCAAAGTTAGCGGATGGTGGTAAATACTGTGACACAGAGAAGGCTTATTGACGAATAGAAGGGGAATTTAGGGGGGTGAAGGTGAGGAATTTGGCATGGAAAGAGATATGCTAGTGCCAGCCAGCAACATGTACCTTAACCTGGTCATTTTCTCATGTGTAAAGCCAAGAGTGGATCGACTTACAGTGCTAGTATCATTGTTATAGTTTGCTTCAGCTTGACTCTCACTCCCACTTGAACTTCTCTGAGAGACTGATCCAGCAAATCTGTGTTGGCCAGGCTGTCCTTTACCTTCCTTTTCTGCAACTTCCTTCTTCGTTTTTAATCTCTAGCATTCTTTAATGTAATGAGTGTTGCACTTACAGAATCGACAAACTTCTTTCTTTGTCCCACAACACCTTAGCATTGTCATGCCTCATGACAGAACGTCGAATATCTTTGTTCACTGAGTTCAGAATCCATGTGAGTACGACTGTGTTGCATCCAATACACAAATGAAATTTTGGATCTGTAATTGCTGGTCTAGGTAGTGACACATCCACAAAACCCATTTTGTGTTTCGTTTTGAGTACATTCATCACAGATCTACTCCACATGCTATAATTACTACCCTCCATCAACTCAGAAACGATGGGTAAGCTCAGATTTTCATTTGGGTTCAGATATAAAGGGTTACCAAACATGAAGACCTCGTTGTTGGGCTGCGTCGCGTTTCCTTCCCCTTTAAACGTCTTGAACTGCATATTTCATGGGTCTGTGACTCGTGCTCCACTGCCCCCTGACGATGATAGATTGGGCGGAGTGGTATTGCATGACATTGCGGTGTCCCCATTAGAATGGTCGCTCTGATACCATAAGAGAAAAGTTGCAAGGGTTTGTGGTAGGAGTGATGCTCAGCTGATTCTGAGATCATCCTTTTGTTTATATAGCACAGCGGAAATGAAAAGGGGAATGCTTTCCATTCATCCATTTAAGTTTAAACAGTGTTTATAACGGCTAACCGCTCTCCCTAACAACGAGTAACAAAACGACATAATTTAGATAAAATAGTTCCAGCATCTAGGAAACATTTTTTCACTTCATACGTTTCTGCCCTACTTCTTCCTTTTCGTTCTTCCTTCTTCTCTAATCCTTCTACAATCTGGATTCAGACTTTGTCATATCATCATCACCAATCACTTCAGCATCTCCTATATCCTCAATAGCATTCTCTCCATGATCAATTTATTGATTGTATTTAATAGAAAATCCACGTACAACCAAATTCTTACACACGATATCTCTTCTTTTCCACAACAGATTTATACATACACGAGGACAAACAATCTTATCTCCCTTATTTGATTTAGCAAATGCGAAATTCAAAAAGTTCGCTACTCCGTTTGAAGTAGTAACCTGCAAAATATTTCAGCTTTTGTCAAAGTCTATAAAATAAAAGGGTAAAACAACTACGAATTTGTTTTTATTCGTATTTGCGCTTCTAATATTTTTCACATATTGTAAGTAAAAGTAGTCATTGGTACTTATTGTTCAAGAAGTGTTCTAAAAAGGGCAACTCTAATATTGGTCTGAGGAACTCCTGATTTTTCCACTACTAATTCATCTATCTTTGCCAGTTTTCTTGCGTTCAGGGGTGGACCCAGGTAGGATGGTGGAGTGTCCTCCCTAAAATTTCGTGGGAAAATTAATCAACCCCTAATAGTACTTTTGATTATAGAAAAAGAAAATGATAGTGTATGAATCTATAACACAATAATTATTAGTGAACATCTTTTTTGTTTGACTACACTAAGTTATTGTTGTAATTTTTTCATATATCATCAAATTTTACAAAGTCTAACCCCACAAATTATGTCTCATCCCCACTATAGTCTAAAACACGATTTTATTGATTTTGGATACAACATTGAATCTATCATATTTATTGGTCTATTTGCTCTTCAAAATTTTGATGCTTTTATCGATTGCAACTCCAAGCGTTGAGAGAGTTTGGGTTACATCAAGAACAAGTTTCAAAATCCAATAGACGATTAGTTGGTCAATAATTGTCGAGTAAGATATAGAGAAAGAGATATGTTGAGCACTGCAGGCGGCGCGTAACACGTTGTTGACTTTTGTTATAATTTGTATTAGTCAGATAGTTTCTTATTTAATAATTATTTAATTTTTATTTATTATTGTGGTTTAATTTAATTTATCAAAGGAATTGGTTGTCACAAGATGACCCAACAAGTAGGACTTGCCTACAGCAAGTCGGGGAAAAAAGCTAGATACATTTCTCCCGACTTTTTCTACTATTGCCTGCAGCTGCAATTTTTTGCCGTTCATACTCCAACAAATTGGTCAATTTATAACCATCTACTATGACAGAAAAGACATAGATTTTGGCATTTATCATTACCATAAGTCACAACTCACAAACCAGTAAGTGCCCGCATGGACCTTATAGTAGCTGCTTATGTAGCATATATGAGGCAGTTACAGTTACAAAAGCTTATGGAAGAAAAATAATAAAAGAACCAACTGACCTCCGGATTCACGGGTCCGCCTCCTGTCCCAGTTCCAAGCCTCCTCCCGGAAACAGCTCTCCTTTCAGTTGGACCAATATCTTTGATAGCAGGAGCACCATCTGATCCGCATTCACGTTGGCCTTTTTCCGTGGCTACTCTCACTTTTTCAGCGATTTGGTTGATTGAACGGTTAACCTCTTTCAACCTTTCTTCTAGGTTTCCTCGCATCCTGAAAACCTCGAACATTTTCGTCTGAACCTCAGCCCAGTCTGGTTTCTCGATGCAGACTCCATCGCGTGGTGGTTGCATCACCGCTTTCTCCTTCGCTTGTGTCGTCTTGGCTCCTTTCGCCATGGTGGTCTTCGCCGCTTTGTCTCCCGCCTTCGAGATTGTGGTTGACGCAACGGCCTTGTCTCCAGCAGCCTTCTCCTCCTTCTCTTGTGCTCTTGTGGATGTCATGACTACTGAATACTCCACACCCAACCGGCGCTCTGATACCAAGATGATAGACCCTGAAATCTAGGGTGCGAGAGAGGGTTCGACCGAGGCCTAGGGAGGAGAACGAGAGGTAGAGTTGGCTAGAGAGAGGGTTAGGGTTTGAATATTCTTATTAA